CTGCGGCATGGGGCCACCGGCCCCGAAGACAACGAGCGACGACGAGCATCTCCTTCATCTCCCGCATCTCTCTCTCTCTCTCTCTCCCCCGCCATCCTTCATCTCCTTCAGCCGGTGTTGATGGCGGTGTTCACGTGGGCGTAGTGACGGCGGCGCGCGTCCGACGACTAACGATAGCCATCGAGCGAGGGAATCTCCGGTGACGTCTCTCTCTGTCGTCCTTCATCTCCGGCGTCCTTCATCTCCTTCAGTCGGTGTTGATGTCGGAGTGGGAGAAGGGGGTGCTGTCGGGGGTGGTGGGCAGTGGAGAAGAGAAGAGAGAAGAAAAAAAAAATGAAAACCGTTTTCAGAAGAGAAAACGACTTTTTTTCATTTTGAGTTTTTCACAAAAAGACAAAAACGTTTTTGTTTTTGTTTTTGTTTTTGAAAAATTTTGTGCCAAATACGTTTTTAGATGGTGTTTTTATTTTTTAGTTTTAAAAAACGTGAAAAATAGAAATGAAAATAAAAACAAACAGGCCATTTGTTTCTCAAGTCTATAATATAGAAGGGTAAATTGGAAAACTAAAAACTTAAAACTAAGTATGGCCTATTATTTTCTAATCTTTGATAAATGGATTATTTACTACCAAATGTTTAAATTTTCGGCAAAATTTTCTAGAGGCGGTCGAAAACATAAGTCACGGACGGCTTGAACTAATTGTTGTCGTCATGTTTATGATGCCGTCGCCGGAGAAGAATGGTGAATCTCTCCGCATCGCGAGGCCAGGCGGCGACACGAGATTGATGGCCGGGATCTCTGAAGCGCTCAAATCATTTTTGGCAATTGCTGATAGAAATTGTTCGTTGCAGTTGAGAACTAATTTGCAAGATGGGGTGCTGCAATTAATTTCCAGATGATGTGCAGGTCTTGTGTTGCCTGGAGAAATATCCAAACATGCAGAAGGTTCGTAGAATTTCTGGGGAGGAGAGTGAGAGGAGGAGAGAGATAAGTGAGGGTATTTTTGTAATTCAATTAGTTAGTAAGTCTAGATTTATACATCATGGCCTATTAATTAACAATTACTTAAACTTGGTCTATTAATTTTTATTCCTCTTTTATTTTAGCCTATTTTACTCTCATATATTTAAATTAATGATTCTGATTCTGTTATAATATTTTACTTTCACATAGAATTTAAATTCAAAAATTTTTCACCAATAATTATCTCACAAAGTTTCTATGAATGAATTAAAATTACAGAATTGAGGACGTGAACCAAACAGACCTTCATTGATGTTGCTGTAAATAACTTAAAAAATTACAATTGTACCCCTGATGCTTAATCATTAAATTATATAAGGTTCGTATTCAGTGTTTTTTTTTTTTAATATAATCCCACTGAATAAATTTCCTGGTTTTATCACTACTTATTTCATTGGGAAATTCTACAAAAGGGCACATCTTTAAAGCTAATAAAAAGTCTTCATGAGCAAAAGGAAATAATAGAAAAATGAAACTCATGAATCATGCCGATTTAAGTTTCTTTCATGATGATCAAAGGATTAAACAATAGAGGAAAAAACAATGCGACTAATCGCATGGCACGAAGCAAGAACCAATATTAAAGACAAAGAAATTGCACTAACGGGAGAATCAAATTAAGGCATGATATGAGCCTATATGGTCCCCGCCTTTTTTCCTGCAAATATATATATATATATATATTTTTTTTTTTTTTTAAAACTTTGTATCCCAATATGGGCACGTCTACCGTAGGAACCAAGTGTTTTTTCCCCCCTTATTATTCACAAAAAAAAAAAAGTGTTTTTTAAAAAAAAAAAAATTGATGGATACAAGCCATATCCTATCCCTAACAATTTATCTTCTTTGTAACCATTTACTACGCATTCAACAGTTCTATAATATGAATTCTTCCGTGGTTTCCATATAAACAACATATATACTTGAAAGAGTCTTCTCATATATGTTGTAAATCACACCTTTACATATATGTTATGGCATAGGTTATGCACACTTTCTCTATCAATTTTAGATAATTACAAAAACAACCTCTGTAGTTTCTTAAAGTATGAGTTTTCAACCACATTTTCACAAGGATAAGAATATCTTT